TCTCCCACCCTGTTCCTTGCAGGAACCAAAACCAGCCCCCAAAGTCCTTCTCTCCCCGTGTTGGCTGCGTTGGAGGCAACAACGGGCCCCGTTGTGGGGCTGGAGGCAATGGGGACCTGGTTTTTGGGGATGTGAGGGATGGAAGGGGGTCCCAGGGGGCTGGAGTTGACGGGCATCTCATTTTTGGGGATCTGAGGGATGCCAGGGGGTCCCAGGGAGGAGGTTGCAGGGGGCTGGAGGTGATAGGGATCTCATTTTTGGGGATGTGAGGGATGCCAGGGGGTCCCAGGGAGGAGGTTGCAGGGGGCTGGAGGTGATAGGGATCTCATTTTTGGGGATGTGAGGGATGCCAGGGGGTCCCAGGGAGCTGGAGGTGATAGGGATCTCATTTTGGGTGATGTGAGGCATGCCAGGGGGTCCCAGGGGGCTGGAGGTGACGGGGATCTCACAGTCAGGGATGCTGGGGTGGTCCTGATGTGAGGGATGCCAGGGGGTCCCAGGGAGCTGGAGGTGATAGGGATCTCATTTTGGGTGATGTGAGGCATGCCAGGGGTTCCCAGGGGGCTGGAGGTGATAGGGATCTCACATTCAGGGATGCTGGGGTGGTCCCGGAGGGAGGGCAGGAGGTCCCAGCTCCATCGTGCTGCTCTCTCTGGTCATTGGCATCTGGAAAGTTTTGGGCCCATGATAGTTTTTTTATTTTCTTCATGTGTTTTTTTTGTTTCTTTTTTAATCCTGAGTAATTTGTGATGGTGCTGGATGGAGGGTGCAGCAGAGCTGGAGGGCTGTGCTGTGGTTCTTCACCAGGCTCCGGGAACTGCGGTGATAAAAATCAGTTAGCTTTAATTTATAGATATTATTAAAATAAAATTTAACGAAAAAACCCACCACCGCTCTTGATTTCTAATATAATAAGATTTATTTTTAATGTGACCAGAGTGTCTTCCTGGGCACAGGGGACACCCCCGTGTTTCATTGCCCCGGTGCTTTACGGGGAAGGGCTGTTCATATCTTTGAGATGATTTTTATAAGTTTTTTTCAAACATCTGGAGGGTGGCTGGAAGTTGTGGCACCTGAGCTGAGGCCAGGCCCATCTTTGGTGTCCAAGAGAGTGGGAAGGTGGTGGGATTTGATGTGGCTCTGTCCCAGGGAGGCGCGGTCCAAGTTGGAGATGTTTGATGGGGACACCAAAGGAGCCTCCTCCTGGCTGGTTGCTCCTGCCACAATGATGTTGCTCTCTCCCTGCTGCTGGATCAGCTCTTTATGGGGTGAACTGGAAGGAGAGAGGGTTACAATAACCCACGTGGGGTGTTTTATATGTCCTTGGGTTGCCCCACCATGTGAACGCGTGGCTGGGGACATGCCAACCCCACCGGGACCTCAGCAGGCACCTCCTTGACAGCAGGATGGCTCAGGAGAGGGAAATGTGTGCTCCATCCATCCATCCAACCATCCATTCGAGGTCACACCCCCTCTCAGCACCCCCAGAATGGCCCTACCTGTCCCCCATGGCACACACCGACCCCACCAAAGGTCTCATGTCCTCCTGCTGCCCTGCGGGAGGACTTTGAAGAAGGTCCCCACCACCTTGAGGGATCAACCCGGCCGCAGGTCAAAGCCTTCAGCTCCTCTCCTCATGATCCTCTCCCCTCCCTGAGAAAATGCCCCGATTAGGTCAACGACAGGGTGACAAGGACCTCTCCCCCCTCCTCTCACCGCCGCAGAGAACTATTCCTGCCGACAAACGAGCTGCTCTAAAGCCCAGAGCTTCACCCCCTGCCTGGAGGTGGGTTTTCAGAGCCGTAAGGGGAGACGCGTGGGGATTGAGGTGGCATTTGTTGAGCGAGGCCACCCTGTCCCGTGGGAGCAGCCGGCTGGGAGAGGGGAGAGGATGAGGATGAGAAACCCAATATCCCTCTTGGCTCCGTCGCGGCTTAATTTAGACTTTAATTTAGAGCCCCGGGGGCTCCGCCAGAGCGTTTTTCCATTTAAAGCTGAACCTCATTCCTTTTGTCACACACACGGGCCCCGCTTGCAGGGCAGTAGCAGCTGCTGCCTCCGGGTGCTGGAGGGGCTGGAAAAGCAGTTTTCCAACTTAAGTTCCCCTTTGCCACCAGCTTCCTCCCCACGGGAATCACAGAATCACAGAATCTTCTAGGTTGGAAGGGACCTTAAAGATCATCTTGTCCAACCGTCAACCTCACTGACAAAAATAGACACCCACACAACAAACAAGGAGCATCATCACTAAACCATCCCTCCCAGCACTACATCAACCCGGCTTTTGAACACCTCCAGGGATGGGGCCTCAACCACCTCCCTGGGCAGCCCATTCCAATGGCTGAGAACCCTTTCAGTGAAAAAATTTTTCCTACTATCCAGCCTGAACCTCCCCTGGGGCAACTTGAGGCCATTTCCTCTCGTCCTGTCGCCTGGAAGGACTGGAATCTGTCTCCTCCTCACCCCGTCCCCATTTGGAGCTTTGGGGAGGGCACAAACCCCCCGCAGCCCCAAATCCACAGCTCTAAACGGGAGCTGGGACCCACTGGCTGATCCTCTGCCACTTGGCTGAGCGGAGCCCAGGGCAGGGAGAGCTCACTCGTGTCAATACCATCTATATTTAACCCTGCTAAATGCAACTTAATTCACCTTAACAGCCAGTTTGGAAAGCCACGCTCTTGCGCCGCTCGCTCTTCGCAGGGGGACGCCTGGGAAGAGGCCAAAAGGAAAATGATGACAATTCCTCAAAGGTCATTTATTCCCAGCGGTTCAGCTGTACTTTTAAAACCCAACACATCCGTGGCTGCTTCGTGGAAGTCTCCTCTGCCCAGCTCCAGGGCAGGAGACAACCCTTTGGCTCAGCCCGAGTGTTTGGAGGACTCGTTTTCTTACCACACATCAGCTAAAAGCTGGCTGAATCCTACTCAGGAGTGTCCACGGCCTCAAATATTTGAGTAAAATTAACTTTACGCTGCTTTTTGCAGCTTAATTGTATCCCCCAGGCTGTGCCAGGCGTTGTCACCGCTCGCCTGTCACCACCATTCGCCACAAGGAGAGATGGAAAAAACTCAGAGGTTATCAAAAAGCAGCCTGTGACGTGACTTGAAATGAGAATCAAAGCACGGGATTTTAAGGGGCTGGTAATTATCCACGAGGACAAACTACCAAGGAAAGTAGGGGGTTGTGGAGTTTTCACATCAAGCCCAGTTCCATCCCTAAAAAAAAAAAAACAACAAACCTTTTGTAGCTCAAAAAGCACATCACTACAAAAAAAATCCACCAAACCTGTTGTAGCTCAAAGAGCATATCAAGCACTCTGAAGGGATTCCGTGGCTGAGGACCCGGGGATGGGGTTTCTGCAGGCAGCAGGAAAAATATTTTCACTGGTTTTGTCCTCTGAGGGGTGGGCTGGGGGACGTGGGGCTGCTGCTTCCAAGATCTGTCAGGGTTTCTTACATCCAGCAACAAACTGACATGGGCTGTAAGAAAAAAGGGTCTCCTACCTGGCAAAGAGGGAAGCAGTCACTGCAGGGAAAATTCAAGGAAACACAGAGACATTTCCAAACTGCTCTTTCCAAAGGAAGGTGAAAACTGAGAAGATCTGGACAATTTGGCCCCCCCCACTGCTCTGTGACAGGAGACAGAGCACCCATTTCCATGAGAAACAGTTACTTACAGGCAGCGACTCTCTAAATAAACTCTTTTACAGTGTCTTAGTTCCTTTGTCAAGGTGTCTGGTGTTTGTGCAGGAAGAAAAAAAAAAGAGAAAAAGCTTCCGTCCAACCCCAAACAAGCCTATGTTTAAAGAAACGAGCGTTGCACTGCTTGAGGTTTGCACCACAAGCTGGTGAGATATATGTGTCCCACAACATATATCACTCCCAGTTCCTTATCTGCATTTCAGGGGTTGATTCCCAGTCACCCCAGGAAGAATTTTGCTGGGGAGAGGTAGGATCCTCATGGCTTTGTCATGGGACAAACACTGAGAGCACCTAAGAAAGGACAGAGATTGCCTCTCCTCTACTTATGTGAAAATATTAAAACAAGCCTATGTTTAAAGAAACGAGCGTTTGCACCACGAGCTGGTGAGCTGTATGTGTCCCACAACATATATCACTCCCAGTTCCTTATCTGCATTTCAGGGGTTGATTCCCAGTCACCCCAGGAAGAATTTTGCTGGGGAGAGGTAGGATCCTCATGGCTTTGTCATGGGACAAACACTGAGAGCACCTAAGAAAGGACAGAGATTGCCTCTCCTCTACTTATGTGAAAATATTACTGATTCACGCTTTTGGGTAAGAAAAATCCAGCCACAAACTACAGCCCAAATTTAGCAGCCACCACGCAGCAAAATCTCCACACCCCTGGCCCAGCTCAGGCAGCTCCTCAAAGGGATCTGCTCACCACCACAGGTCCTTAGAGTTGGCTGATTTCTTCTCTTTTCAGCTGGAATGGGGCCTCTCTTCGGTCTCCTCACTCTACCCCGTGCTACAAAATCATCAGGATGGAGTTGAAGAGAAACAAACTGCAGCTCACCGGGATGAGACTGTGTCCATGTCTCCATCCAGGGTTTAGGAGCTGCAGGGAGGAGAGGATTGTGGGTTGCAAGATGCTTTTTCCTCTGATGCTACTGGCATCTTGAGGATGGAATATAGCAATGGACCATTTTGGTCCTGCTTTTTGTGACACCCAACAGTTTTGTTGAGCTACAAGCCAGGGGAACAGAGGAGGGAGGTGCTGAGTTTATCCTCAGCTCCCATCTCCTCCATCAGGAGCTCCATGAACTGTCTGGAGAGAGATAATCTCCCAACATCACCAGGAAAAAAGACAGGGATGACACCACCTTCACCACCTCCCTGCTCTGGTGGCTTTTTCACTCCACACAAGCAGAGCTGGGACCCGATCCCTGTGCTGGGGGAGCAGTGATTTGCCCGTCCACAAACCCATTTTGAGCTGGTGGTGGCTGGGGAGCCCAGCTCAGGCAGCTCCTCAAAGGGATCTGCTCACCACCACAGGTCCTTAGAGTTGGCTGATTTCTTCTCTTTTCAGCTGGAATGGGGCCTCTCTTCGGTCTCCTCACTCTACCCCGTGCTACAAAATCATCAGGATGGAGTTGAAGAGAAACAAACTGCAGCTCACCGGGATGAGACTGTGTCCATGTCTCCATCCAGGGTTTAGGAGCTGCAGGGAGGAGAGGATTGTGGGTTGCAAGATGCTTTTTCCTCTGATGCTACTGGCATCTTGAGGATGGAATATAGCAATGGACCATTTTGGTCCTGCTTTTTGTGACACCCAACAGTTTTGTTGAGCTACAAGCCAGGGGAACAGAGGAGGGAGGTGCTGAGTTTATCCTCAGCTCCCATCTCCTCCATCAGGAGCTCCATGAACTGTCTGGAGAGAGATAATCTCCCAACATCACCAGGAAAAAAGACAGGGATGACACCACCTTCACCACCTCCCTGCTCTGGTGGCTTTTTCACTCCACACAAGCAGAGCTGGGACCCGATCCCTGTGCTGGGGGAGCAGTGATTTGCCCGTCCACAAACCCATTTTGAGCTGGTGGTGGCTGGGGATAGAGCCTGACAAACTCCCCGCTCACAAAAAGAGGCTGACAAAGCAAAGCAGAGAAAGCAGAGCTTTCAAGACTTTCAACCGAGAAACAAAGCAGCTCTATACAAAAACAAGGAGCTCTCCATTTGCTTGTAATCCCCGAGGCCAGCTCGCTGCTGCCAGCCTGCATCTTAATGCCTTATTAGCTTGCTCTTGGCGTTCTCACCATGCTGCAGGAGAAATGGACAGAGATGGGAAGGGTTTTCAGCATCTCCAAAAGTCCCACCGCCACCGCAGAGAAGCCCTGCCTGTGTTTTACCAGCATCTAACAAGCCCTGCCCGATGGATGAACACAGAGACCCAGAAAGAGGGAATTTCACAACCTGGATGGCAAGTTTCCTGTGGAATGAGCTGAATTTAAGGCAGGTCTGGCTGATTGTGGGGTCTGCACAGCCCACCCTTTTCGATGGCAACTCCACTGAGCTTCGGAAAACTCTGCCCCCAGTATGTTCAAGCAAAGAAACAGGTTGGAATGGTGAGTGGAGCACCCCCAAAAGTTCATTTTGCAGATATTCACAGGCTAATCCTCTCCCCCAGCACTTCATACTACAGAGAGCCTGAGACAGAGAGGTATCAGTGTGCTGATAAAAACAGAACTCTGTTCACTCCTGGCATGACTTTGGAAGGGGCCTGGCATAACTTTGGTTTAGCAAATTCTTTCAGGAGCTGATAAAGGCAGCAGCATATTGAATATCGAGCCCTCGCCAGGAAAATTCTGCTGCAACTAGGGAGGTTTTGCCCAAAATCAACACTGCAGCATTGCAGCTTTCTCAACTGCACCAACTTATGGCACGTGCAGCCTGAGAGCCAGCTGCTGGCTGACTCTTACAGACAGGATTTGCTGATGCGCAAAACCTTCACTCTTTTTGTATTTCATCTCCATTTCTCATCTGCTTCTCTGCAAAGGCTAAAGAAACGACATGATCCCAGGCTGCAAAACCACATTTCAATTCACGGGCACGATGCCCGGGGCTCTCTCTCTCCCTGCTTTTGCTGTCCAAAGGACTCTCAATATCTTTCTTAACTCTTCTCTTGTTTCTGCTGCCGAACGGCCTGTAAAAAGATATCCTTCACTTGCTCCATTGTGTCTTGATACAGTTTAAAGTCTTCCTCTTTCTTTCTCACAGTCGTCTCCAAAGAGGCCTTCAGAGCTTCGTTCTCATCCAGCTGGATCATGAGCCTACGAGGAAACAAAAGGAAAACTTTTCATGTGAGCTGGGGAGCTTCAAAGCAAATTAGAACAGCGCTTGGACTCTGGGGAAGGGAACACTGAAACACACACTCGCTGGTTATTTTATGACAGGCGTGAGAAAGAGGAGACTTAACACTTGTCCCTTCTCTCTTTGAGGTTGAAAAAGAGTATTAGATAACCCAGATACTTTTCAGATCTGTTTTGTTAAAGATGATAGTTCTATTTTCACTAATAAGCTCGCAATCAAGGCATAAGGAAAGATAAAGAAAATAAAAGGTGTCTTCCTTGCACGTGTTTTGTGTTGCTTAACGTTTGCATCAGCTTAATATTTCTGGGTGCCTGTACAATTATTAGGAAACTTGTGTAAGAATGACATAGACAAGCTCAAAGCTGAGGATCTGTGATTTCTACAGAGTTTCTCAGGTTTTATCTCCCGAGGAGTGGGTGCAGGTACTATCACTACTAAGAGGAGGGCAATGAATGGGAGCTATTGTGAGGAACACAGCAGGAGCTTTGAGCAACCTGGTCTAGTGGGAGGTGTCCCTGCCCACGGCAGGGGGGTTGGAACTGGATGATCTTTAAGGTCCCTTCCAACTCTAATGATTCTCTGATAAACTGTACCTTGTGCTCAGCTCCTCTATCTGCGATTCCAGAGGCAACCTGGAAAGCTGGGCTGCAGAGAGCCCTTCCTGCCACTCACATTCAAGGTGGATCTTGAGTGACCCACAGGCTGCCCTGTAGATTTAATCACACAACGGAGTTTTAGTCAAACAAGCAATAGTTTTCACTCACAGAATCACAGAATCTTAGTGGTTGGAAGGGACCTCTGAGATCATCGAGACCAACCACAAAAAAAAAACCAACAAAAAAACAAAACAAAACACCCAAAGAAACACATCACACCAAACGCCCACCAAAAACACAGCACCCACCAACTAAACCCCACACTGAACACCTCGCCATAAACCAATAACCTTGGGCACTAGAGCATGCCCTGAAGAGCCATGTCTATACGTTTCTTAAATCCCTCCAGGGATGGTGACTCCACCACCTCCCTGGGCAGGCTGTTCCAGTGCCTGACCACCCTCTCAGTAAAGTAATTCTTTCTAATATCTAATCTAAATCTCCCCTGCCGCAACTTCAGACCATTTCCTCTGGTCTTGTCATTCGTCCTTTGGGAGAAGAGGCCAACACCTGCCTCTCTACACCCTCCTTTCAGGTAGTTGTAGAGGGCAATGAGGTCTCCCCTCAGCCTCCTTTTCTCCAAACTAAACATGTCCAGTTCCCTCAGCCTCTCCGCATAGGACTTGTTCTCCAGGTAGCACTCGGTAGCACACCGAGTAAATCTCAGAAGAAACACTAAGGAATCTGTTCAGTTCTGTGTATATCCATGAAGATACTGGAAATATATAGGACAGGCTTTAATTTTAATCTCCTTCCAGCAAAATTAAAACATGATGAGTTTGCATTTCTGGGCTCAATGCAGTGATATGTGTGCCTGCCTATTCAGAGAAAATAAAAAATTTACCACTCGCATTTCTGGGCTCAATGCAGTGATATGTGTCCCTGCCTGTTCAGAGAAGATAAAAAATCTACCACTCGAGGTGTGGGGAGAGAGGCTGCCAGTGAAGAGCCCTCCAGGGATGGTGACTCCACCACCTCCCTGGGCAGGCTGTTCCAGTGCCTGACCACCCTCTCAGTAAAGTAATTCTTTCTAATATCTAATCTAAATCTCCCCTGCCGCAACTTCAGACCATTTCCTCTGGTCTTGTCATTCGTCCTTTGGGAGAAGAGGCCAACACCTGCCTCTCTACACCCTCCTTTCAGGTAGTTGTAGAGGGCAATGAGGTCTCCCCTCAGCCTCCTTTTCTCCAAACTAAACATGTCCAGTTCCCTCAGCCTCTCCGCATAGGACTTGTTCTCCAGGTAGCACTCGGTAGCACACCGAGTAAATCTCAGAAGAAACACTAAGGAATCTGTTCAGTTCTGTGTATACCCATGAAGATACTGGAAATATATAGGACAGGCTTTAATTTTAATCTCCTTCCAGCAAAATTAAAACATGATGAGTTTGCATTTCTGGGCTCAATGCAGTGATATGTGTGCCTGCCTATTCAGAGAAAATAAAAAATTTACCACTCGAGGTGTGGGGAGAGAGGTTGCCAGTGAAGAGAGAGGGGAAAAAAGTTGTTGGGTACCTCAGCCTTCCCCTTGGCACCAATTTTTCAGTCTTGCTCAGCAGGGTGGGTACACTTTCTTTAACCTCCCTTTTCTGGCTGATGTACCTATAGAAGAAGCCATGCTGGTCTCTTGCCTCCTTTCCCAATTTCTTACACCCAGGGATCGAGAGCTTTTGCACTATATGGGAAGAGTCCTTAAAGATTTGATCCTTTTTGATCTTGAGGTTGTGTCTTACAGGACAGAGGAAAACCTATCCTCCTCTGGGATTATCCTTTGCTAATTAGAAATTTGGACAGACAGAAAAAAAAACCTGAAAAGCATGAATAATTTTAAAACATAACTGGGTTGTTTCTAGCTACTTAGCATCATTATCTACTTCCCTTGAATTGCAGAGACTAGAAACATTAGATTAGCAATTAGATCAGCTCTCTCCAATTTTGCACTTTCAGAAAGAAAAGAAAATATTATGTTAATTAGCGGGTTCTCCAGTCTCTATTTTACATTCAAGTTTCTTATTCCTTCTTCTTTCCTCAACTCTCTGGCATGAAAGTGTTCAGATAAGCTGCATGCTCTGCTGAAGAGGTGTATTACAGACTTGTAGACTCATTTCTTGCCCAAACTCCAGAGAGTTTTGGCACATGGCAGGGGGCTGAGCTCTCCTCGAAGAAGGGTGGTGAAACACATTGTTACCTACTCATCTTGTGGAGTTAGAGAGGATTTCTTCTTCTTCTTAGTCTTACTGCCAAGCCTTTTCTATGCTTGCTTTTAGGTCTTATGCAAACAAGGCTAATGAACTAAATATTTAGTAAGATGGAACCTGTCACACTGGTAAGAACAGCCTGCTTCCTCCATGAGACTTCTGCCAGTCTCCCCGAGGTGAGTTACTGCACCATTTTGTAGAGTAGGGTAGATGGTTGGACTCGATGATCCCAAGGGTCTCTTCCAACCTAGACAATTCTACGATTCTATGATTATTCCTCCATGAGACTTCTGCCAGTCTCCCCGAGGTGAGTTACTGCACCGTTACACAGCACAACTTGCCCAAAATGGCTCAGGACCTGGAGAGTTTATCACTGTGTCTCTTTGAGGTTGTGAGGGAAACCTCAAGTGGAGCCCATGTATGATGACAGAACATCAAAAGAACATCAACACTTCACACTACCAGGTTGTATAGATGTTTGAACACTCAAAAATCCAGTTAAATTCCCCTTTAGAAGACACCACCAAAACTCCGAGGGAAACCTCAAGTGGAGCCCATGTATGAGAACAGAACATCAAAGAACATCAACACTTTAGACTACCAGGTTGTATAAATGTTTGAGCACTCAAAAATTCAGTTAAATTCCCCTCTAGAAGATACCACCAAAACGTCCCCATACTATTTAAGGCACAGAGTCACTGAAAGTGTAGCACTGAGAATTGTATTCCCACAACTCTCACCTGGCTACTCCCTGTCCCTACACACACCCTGATTTCTCCCTCTGGGCATCTGCAGAACCATAGGAGGACTCCAAAGCCTCTCACCTCCAAACCCTCCTGGGACTCACCAAGGGCATCCCATGATAGCACTTTTGGGAGGCCCAGCACTGCTCTCTTATCAAGATGGATATCCTAGATCTTATATCCAAAGGCTGCAGCGCTTCATTTCTAAGCACTAGGTTTCTGTCTGGATCTAAGTTTTGCTTCACCACTTTTTCTGCTCTCAGTTTATACAGGTGAGACAGCTCTAAAAATCCATCTTCACAGAAAAACTCGAGTCAATGTTGGCTGGAGCCCTTTCTAAGGACACAACAGTTCTGCTCTAAGGAGCGGATCCATATTCTGCAGAGGGGAGTAGGTTTCAAAAAATCATGCAGTCCCCATAAAGGTTCCTTTGAATCCTGTTTCCTTATACCAAATTCTGCCTTTAGGCTGGATGGGTGAATGGCAGTGCTTCCCTCGAGGTCCTGATGTGACACTGGAGACTCTAGTTCTCCTGTGTGATTGGGGATCACAGTGAACACCACCACATGATTTCTTCCATCACGGTTGTCCTGCTCCAGAGACAACTTGTTGTCAAACAGGGATATGACCAAGAGGCCTTTGATGGGAGATACAAAGAAATGCAATGCAGTTCCAGTAGCATCTTACCCAAGTCTAAGGAGAAACAAGACACCAGTGGAGGTGGAAAGGGAGGTGGCCACTTATAGAGGTGACACTGCTCAGTAGAGGTCAGCTCTGAGGTAAGGAGGTAGCTTTATTACACCGTAACACTGGATGGAAGCATGATGGAAAGCCACATCATGCATCTGCTGAGCTGTGGGGCAGTCCCCCTACTGCCCAAGATCATGCATTTCAGTGTGGGGCAGGCCAAGGGTTTGTACAAGGTCTCTGACAAGGCCTGTGACCTCTCTAATCCCCGTAACTCAGCCCCATGGCATCCCAGTATTAGTCAAATTGAAATTCCTATTCCCACTGTTCATATCCTTGGCATTTAAAGTCTTTTTACTTTATGAAAATGCAGATAAAAAGGGAAACCACTGGAAAAGTTTCCTTAAGAATATGTGCCGTTTTATTGGTTTAGACACTTTACAGAATCAGAGTCCTTAAGCAATAAAAGGATCTGATCAGGGAAATAAAAATTTAACATCCACCATGAATTCTTCTCCTTTAACTATGCTAGCGAGGCTTTCATATTTATAGCAGGAGATTATCATGTTCATGGGATAATAAATTACAACAGATCTAATTACTTCATCACCAGCAATAGTTTTTCATAGACACTGACAGGCCTTAAATTGGGATGCGTCCTTTAATTCTGCTCTTAACCTTCAGATGAATCTCTCGGGTAGAAGTGCAAAAGGGACACAGGGGTGGGCACGGTGGCAACACAGAGCAGTGTCAAGGGTTTTTCTCCTGTGGACTCTCATCCCACGAAAACAACAAATTGCAAAACTCCTGGTTAACTCCACTTAAATCTGTGGCAAATCCCTTTGGTCAGGATTTCACCTTCTGTATCAGTCCACGGGTCCGAGTAGGTCCAAGCAGCCGTGTGTAGGGTCAAGATCTTGCGTGGGTTTGATAGATAAGAGTCCAAATGTTGTTGCCATCTATTAACCAGAGACGTGGGACAGGGGACACGGTTGTAGGTAGGTGCTCCACCTCACCTGTTTTGCTCCTCGGGGGAGGTTCCATTGAGCTTGTGTTCCTCCCTGGATCCATTTGGAGCTTTTCCAGCTGCTGTTCCAAAATGACACATCGCCGCCGCTCTTCCTGAAGCCTCTTCTCAACTTCCAAGACTTTATCGCTGCTTTCCTCCACCCTGAGAAGCAGAAAAATAAATAAATAGGTAGTTCAGCTTATTTATGTCATGATTACAAAGGATCAGTCAAGTCTTGACACTGAATCCTGCTTTGTGCTGCAGGAAATCCTGCTCCCAACAGAAGGAAAAGGGAGAATTTCCCAAAAATCCCAGTGCAATCGTTCCAGATGACATCCTCCAAATTTGCAAAACAGAATTAATTAATGAGTACAGTTGGAAATAATGGGTTCATTAACAGAGGTTGCCTAGATGCCTTAACACTAGCTGCTTGTGTGAATTTACCACTCAGACGAGCAGGCAAACTGCAGATTCCTGAAGAGAGATCTTTTATTACAGGGATAATAAACTGTATTTTTTTAAACACACTGGGAAAATTTGGACGGAAAATAGTTTATAAAAGCACAGGCTAGCATTTAGCTGCTTTGCATCAGCATTCTGCAAGTAAGAAAAGAAACTTGATGTTGCTTTTAATAAACTTGGCCATTAGACACCGGCGTGGAAGGAAGCGAGTGGAAAAGAAAGCGATGGTTCGCTCTGCAGAACAGAATGGAAGAGCAAAGTGCCTCTGGCTTCACCCCACACATCATCTTAGAAAATTAGCTACAAAAACAGAATGTGCACCCACACATGGGGGGCAGTGCCTGATATCAAATGATTTAAAGGAGTTTAAAGCGAGAGAGAAACCTGAATTGATTCCGTGTATTGTACAATGCAGAGTAAAAGAATTTCCTTCTTGACCCCACGGTGATTGCTGATTACTCCCTGAATCAAGAGATTTGATTAGTCTAATTTCCCTCCTAGCTGGCATCATGAAAAAAAAAAATATTACAACTCTCAAAATTATATCACTGTCTTAAAAATCTAGCTACAGGCAAGACTCTGACCTCCTGTGGCAGTGAATTCCCAGGCTGGTGACATGCTACAAGAAATTCTATTTGAATTTACTAAACTTTCATGTGACCAGGTGTTCCCCTGGCATCCACGTTAGACAAACAGCAGAGGAAAAACGACAAGACTAGTGGTTTTTTAGAAAATCTTCTGGCAATATGAATAACTTAAATGAAAATGTTCCTCTAGCTCTTCCTTCCCCCAGATGGGCCCAATCCTGCGAGCTGTTTATAAGGGAGTATTTCCTGACAGTATGTTCTGCTCTGCAGTAAGTGACGGTGAAACACAGTCCTAAATTCTGGCAACTGCTGTAGAAAAATCCCATTTATGTAACCATTCCCAGTGCTCCTCGCTGGGCTTAAGCATTATATATGTTACCTGAGCTTTGCTGACCCACACTGCAACAGAAGGGAAGGGAAAAGGAGGAACGTCTGATTTTTTTATGTATATTCACGTTGAAATATGACTGGATGCTATATTATCCTGAGGTCTTCCGAGAGTTATTGCACACAATCTCACAAAATTTACTTTACCTGCAGGAGCTCTTGATAAATGTGTGATAACAGCGGAGCTGCTGAATCATCAGTCTAAGGTACATTTTAAAAGCAACTGTACATTTCATTGACTCCATGTTCTTCATTATCCCATATTCGTGATGGCCCCGCTTCAGCTATCACTCACACCCCCATCCCTGGCTAATTGCAGAGCTCTATTAAAGTCCCTGGGCTTACAAACATGAATAAAATTCTCCCAGAGTCTATTTCCAGGATTTAGCCCTTAGAAGCACAGGGGATGACATCTTTAACCACAGTTACAAACAACTGTATTTTTCTGACTGCGATTAATTGTACGGGACAAAAGTCAGACAAGGGAGAAATTATAACTAGCATAAAATAAAGTGAGCAAATGGTGCCTATTGTATTCAAAAGCAAGCAGACAAAAGTGTATCTTCCCACAAGCTGGAATCCAGAAATGGGAATCAAACAATATACATTCTCTAACTGAGAAAAGAAGGAGTAGCTAAAAGACTTTGCCTCCCCTGCCCTCCTAAAACATAGCTGGCTTTTAACGTCATATTAAATTGAACTGAATAATAGAAAAAAAAAATATCACCGCTATGCTTCAGTTAAACCAGCAGAAATTAACTTAAAAAGAGGATACAGTGAAACTTAATGTGAAAAGCTTTTGGAACAGAAGTCAGATTATAACTATAATTACAGTATTTACTACTGATGAATAATATTGCTGCCTAAATAACACCACACGTATATAAATACACGAGTTCTAGTTGCATTTAGGTGCAGCAAGCTTGAAGATGACTCCATTGTTTCTGCTCTTTGTTCTAAAAGAATAATAATAAAAAAAATGAATCATCAACTAGGCAGGGAAATTGAGCAGAAATAATTTAAAAGCCTCTATTTAAGGATGGGATCACACTGGCAGCGTATGGCCTACTGTACTCCATGCTATAGACTCTCCCACGTCTCAAGGGCTCCTTAATCACAGCATCCCACAAAGGAGACTGGCAGAACGAGCCTCTACCTTTTCTGCAGCACAGTGACCAGTTCCAGGAGCCTGTCTCTTTCCACTTCAGCAGCCTGGCAGAGAGCCCTGTGCTCTGTGATCTGTGTCTGCAGCGCTTTCAAATCCGGGCTGTCGGTGCCAGCGAGCCTAAAAGCAGCAGAAGCACAGAGAGTCTGTTTTCCCATTTCACAAAATGAAAGAAATGAAACAAAGACAGGATTTGAAAAAAAACATATCAAAATACACTTGTCTGAAGGAGAAGCCAGAAGGCAGAGCCGGGCTCACTACCTCCCCCCAGCATCAACCTCTACGCTGCAATAAATGGAATAGAAAGACTTGGAAATAAAGCCACCGTGAGTTTCACTAGAAAGGTCTTTTCCCTCAAAAGGATGCTCTCCCTTCCCACCACCCCTGAAAACAAACTTCCACCTCTGCTCAACGCACTATCACTGATTCTCCTCCCATCACCAAAGTGAAAGGAGCCTGGATGTGGATTCTCCAAAGTGCTGGGCTAAGCTACTAAATGCCACGCTATTGATTTTCTCCCACTGAAAGCCTTCAGGCAGTATTAGCACAAAGGCTGTTCTTGTGCCTAATACGTGATGAAAGGAAGGGGCAGCTTTCCCATGTATCCCATTATTATGTACTTCATTGCTTCCCTGACCTCTTTGGACAGGAATATTCAGGACTGTCTCCTTTAGAGCAAAAAAGCAGGAGAAATCTCGGTGATGGGGGGTGAAAAGGGATTCATGGGGCGTAAAACTAGCAATCAATTGAAAAATTAAGATAGCAAGAAGATGCTCAAGCCTGTGTCAGAGCTCTTTGGCAGTCGTCAGGTAGAAAGGATGGTGAAAGGAGCTGTTTGTTACAGAAACAAGGCAGATGAGGACAAGGCTTGTGGAGCGTGGCAGGAAACCTCCCTTGTTTATGATGAAGTTGATATACGTACCTTCCAGGAGGGATGTTATTACTGAGAAGGGAAGGCTTAGTAGCTGCTGACTCTACCAGGGTATGGCCCATCTTGGACACTGTGCTGAGAAGACCCCTGAAAACAAACTTCCACCTCTGCTCAATGCACTATCACTGACTCTCCTCCCATCACCAAAGTAAAAGAGCCACGCTATTGATTTTCTCCCACTGAAAGCCTTCAGGCAGTATTAGCACAAAGGCTGTTCTTGTGCCTAATACGTGATGAAAGGAAGGGGCAGCTTTCCCATGTATCCCATTATTATGTACTTCATTGCTTCCCTGACCTCTTTGGACAGGAATATTCAGGACTGTCTCCTTTAGAGCAAAAAAGCAGGAGAAATCTCGGTGATGGGGGGTGAAAAGGGATTCATGGGGCGTAAAACTAGCAATCAATTCAAAAAATTAAGATAGCAAGAAGATGCTCAAGCCTGTGTCAGAGCTCTTTGGCAGTCGTCAGGTAGAAAGGATGGTGAAAGGAGCTGTTTGTTACAGAAACAAGGCAGATGAGGACAAGGCTTGTGGAGTGTGGCAGGAAACCTCCCTTGTTTATGATGAAGTTGATATACGTACCTTCCAGGAGGGATGTTATTACTGAGAAGGGAAGGCTTAGTAGCTGCTGACTCTACCAGGGTATGGCCCATCTTGGACACTGTGCTGAGAAGAAGAAAGATTTGTGAGGCGCTGAGCTCGAGAGAGGGCAGCCCTCCAAGAATTGGGGTCATTTTCCAGTCTCTGTATTTATTGCTGCCTTGTAGGGGAAAAAGCCTCCCGGAGCCTCCTCAGTGGGGATCACAACAGCTCAGCTTCCTCCCCGACTCCAACCCACGCTGCAAAACCACCTTGTGTCTCCAACATGTAAAAGCTATAGCTTAGTGTTTGATCTCTGTGCTTCTTGGGGGTACCTTGTTGGTGCTCTAGACCAGTGCTGTGGAGCTCCACGTCATGGAGAATCATAGAATCATTGAGGTTGGAAGAGACCCTTGGGATCATCGAGTCCAACCATCTCCCCTACTCTACAAAGTCCTCCCCTACACCATGTCCCTCAGCACTGCATCTAAACGGCCCTTAAACACAGCCAGGGATGGGGACTCCACCCCCTCCCTGGGCAGCCTGTTCCAAAGCCCTGTCACTCTTTCGGTGAAAAATTCCTTCCTAATGTTCAATCTAAACCTCCCCTGTTGGAGCTTGAAGCCGTTCCCTCTCGTTCTGTCACTAATTACCTGTGAGAAGAGACCAGCACCAACCTCTCTACAGTGTCCTTTCACGTAGTTGTAGAGAGTGATGAGGTCTCCCCTCAGCCTCCTCTTCCTCAAACTAAACAGCCTCAGCTCCTTCAGCCGCTCTTCATATGATTTGTCTTCTAGGCCCTTCACTAGTTTCGTTGCCCTCCTCTGCACTCGCTCCAGCACCTCCAGATCTCTCTTGGATTGAGGTGCCCAAAACTGGACACAACACTCAAGGTGTGGCCTCCCCAGTGCTGAGTACAGGGGCACAATCACCTCCCTGCTTCTGCTGGTCACACTATTTTTGATACAAGCCAGGATGCCATTGGCTTTCTTGCCCCCCTGGGCACACGGCCGGCTCATATTCAGCCCTTTGTCAACTAGAACCCCCAGGTCTCTTTCCTCCAGGCAGCTCCAGCCACACTTCCCCCAGCCTGTAGCGCTGCAGGGGGTTGTTGTGGCCCAAGTGCAGAGAAGCCACAGAGCAACCCGTGAGCTCTGTTACCTTGTAGGCACTGCCTTGGAGCTTTGCACTGAGCACCCAGGGTGAGAGACAAGCCCAGGTTACTGCGCCCGTTTGATGGTGTTTGCACGTGGAATGCTTCCCCAACCCATGGAACCCCTGTTCTGCAACAGGACCTTGGAAAAAATATACTTTATGAAGTTTTCTGAACCCTTCTGCTTTGTGGATACCCTCAGGAAGATGTGTCAGGCTTACTGTTGTAAGACGAGGAGTCAACTGATAACACCAGAGTATCACTTCCAGCCTGGATGAGTTTGATGCCTAACGATATGTGTGCTTGGGACATCAAATTCCAGTGCGTGTTTGTTTTCCAAACTTGAGCTCAGCTGCCTAAAGGCAAATCCCTGCAGACAGAGCCCTTGTTTCCCTGTCTTTAGGCAGCAGCTGATGGAGGATAAAGCCTTAATATTGTGAAACATGCAGAGCTGCCTTCTAGGCTAGCAGTGGTTAATCCTAAAATCGAGTTAAAGTCGATAATGACAGAAGTGGCCCAGTCTAAAAATGCAGATTTTAACTTCAACATCTCCAAGGGGCTTTAGTTCCTATTTATAGCGTTTTTCATTTCATCTTGCCTTGATAGGAAAAGATGATTCGCTAAAGTAAAATGGAATAGAGACTTCATCAGCATATTAAAGTTAATGGCATGAGCGAGCCCTGCTGACCGAGTTATTAACGGCTCTTGCAGTTTTCAGACTCATTCATTGCCCACCTGACATGTCAGCTATTTTCATGACAGAGCTATGGTAGCCCACGTACACAAGCAATAATTTACACGCTGCACTTAGTGGCTTCTACAAAACCATTACCCAACCTCATCTTCCCGCTTGCCTTCCTGCTTCCCAGCAGCAGACACATGAAGTTAAAAAGTGGAGGAAATGTAGATTTGCTCCACGAGAGAGCAACCACTTCTGCAGAGTTAGAAGTCAAGTCAGTCAGAAGGGTATAACAATGGAGATGTGGAAACTCTCAAATTTCAGATGGTTTAACTCTAACTCCAAAACACTTCTCTTAAATCTTAAATTCAGGGACACATCTGACAATTTTAAAGCCAAATTCAGTGCCTACAGTAATGCGGTAAGTGAGTTAAAATTACAGAGAAGAAAACAGTCCCAACTTTAACTTGATGAAAAATTTCCTCCTTCCTCAGAAAGTCTCAAATCCTCATTGTCAATTAGCCCATGAACTCTTTAGCAACAAAACCAGCACTTCAACAGGAAAGGATACAACTTGCTCTGGTATCACAGTCTCTTTACACCACCAGAGTGACCCAGAGTCACATCAGTCTAAACAAAAATCAGATTTACTGCTGTATTAAGATTAGTGTAATTTACACGGTCCTCAGTGAGGCTTTAAAAAGGGTGTTTGTTAAGAACAAATGATGCGGTGTGTTTTCAACATTTCTGCAAGTAAATCCTACTCAAAGCGTATTTATTGATTTAAATAATGCACCAGTGATTTAGCGCTTACCTAAAATGGCATTTTGCATTAAATTGCCACCCCCCTTTCAGAAGTCTGCTCGTTTCTCATCAGAGAGAAGAATCACAGGCACTTAAGCCAACCACATAAACATTATCTGAGCTGGAGGAAAAAGAATTAGCTGCACTACCATCATGCCAAATGTAGTAATGTCTGCGAGTGTGTGTATCTTTCTCTGTTCCAGGATGAAAAGTCCAAGAGATAATGTGATTAGAGATTCCCATATACTGTAAACAGGCTGCCACAGCTGCTGGCACACAGCACTCCTGGTTTGATACAATTGTCTGGGAAAATCATGCTTCTGAATCACTCACAACAATTTTAAACATTGACATGAAGGTCTTCTTACCGAGCAGATCCAATCCTTCCAACCTGATTGCTGCCTGATGCCAGAGGTTTAAGCAGAGTAAAACTCAGATCTTCTGAGTGCTCAGAAGGTGATGTTTCAGCAGCTCCCGAACCGTCCCCTTGATGGGCAGATTTCTTCTGTTAATGTTGGAGCAGGTTATAAAACCAATTACACAGTTCAAAGGAAAATAGCTGCATCGATGCCTAATCAGCAGCTGATGATTATTGCTACAAGCATGCCAGAATTTTTGATTTCCAGGACCTCTTCAGAAACTTTTCTTTAGTTTCTATCCATTGCAGGATGGAAACAAAGCAGAAGTCAATAAAAAATGCAGTTTGATATGAAACCACAGGGTGTAAACAGCGTTGCTAGAGAACCCACAGCACAGCACCACCACTACCAGTGCCTGCATGGCTGGTTTGTGTCCCGATATCAGGCTGGATATTAGGAAAAATTTTTTCACTGAAAGGGTTATCAGGCATTGGAATGGGCTGCCCAGGGAGGTGGTTGAGGCCCCATCCCTGGAGGTGTTCAAAAGACGGGTTGATGTAGTGCTGGGAGGTCTGGTTTAGTGATGATGCTCCTTGTTTGTTGTGTGGGTGTCTGTTTTTGTCAGTGAGGTTGATGGTTGGACAAGATGATCTTTAAGGTCCCTTCCAACCTAGAAGACTCTGTGATTGGGTTCAATGCTCCAGCCTCCATCACCAAGGCTAGAAGATTCTGTGATTCTGTGAACCCAAGTTGGGTTCAATGCTCCAGCCTCCATCACGGAGAGATCTGACACATTCACAATCTCACCATAACCCTACGAGGGTTTTATATCAATGGGAACTGGATGTCTAAATACTCTAACAAAACCTGTCTAAGATTCCAGACCACACAAGGAACCTTTGGCAGGTTAGTGGAATGCCCCTCCGCTCTTATTCTTGTTGCTCTGGCAATAGGACAACCTTGAATCTGTCAGTTTGCAACACTAGAGCATAAAAGTTGAAAACATTTTTAACATACTAGTCCATAAGGCACCAACCTTCCCAATTCTTTCATTTGTACAATGAAATTTCCATGTGCCCGAGAACATTCAGACTCATATCAATAGCCTGGAGATCTGTGGGAGAGGAAGTGGTTTATGGTGGGAGATGAGAATATCTTATTAGGGTTCTCATTGCAATAGCCTGGAGATCTGTGGGAGAGGAAGTTTTTGAAGTGGTTTATGGTGAGAGATGAGAATAACTTATTAGGGGTCTCATTGCTCATAGAATGGTTTGAGTTGGAAGGGACCTTAAAGATCATCGAGTTCCAACCTCCCTGCCACGCGCAGGGACACCTCCCACCAGACCAGGTTGCTCCAAGCCCCATCCAGCCTGGCCTTGAACACTTCCAGGGATGGGGCAGCCACAGCTTCTCTGGGCAACCTGAGCCAGTGTCTCACCACCCTCACAGCAAAGAATTTCTTCCTGAGATCTAATCTAAAACTCCCCTCTTTCAGTTTAAAACCATTATCCCTCGTCCTACACCTCTATTTCAGTTTAAAACCATTATCCCTTGTCCTACCCCTCTACTCCCTGATCAAGAGTCCCTCCCCATCACTCCTGTAAGCCTTCAGGGACTGGGAGATGAAGAGTCCCTCCACATCTCTCCTGTAGGCCTTCAGGGACTGGGAGAGACTCTAATGTCTCCCCAGAGCCTTCTCTTCTCCAGGCTGAACAACCCCAACTCTCTCAGCCTGTCCTCACAGCAGAGGTGCTCCAGCCCTCTGATCACCTCCATTGCCTTCCGCTGGACCCTTTCTAACAGGTCCATGCTGAGGACTCTAGACCTAGACACAGAGCTCCAGGTGGGTTCTCACCAGAGCAGAGGGGCAGAATCCCCTCCCTCACCCTGCTGGCCACACTTCTTTTGATGCAGCCCAGGATGCAGTTGGCTTTCTGGGCTGCCAGTGCACATTGTCAGCTCATGCTGAGCTTCTCATCCACCAACACCCCTACAAGGGGACGTAGCTGGGTGCCAGGGCAGCCTCCTGATGTTGGCTTCACCTGTGTTTCTTTGCTTGCTTCCTTCAGCAGCCAAGGATGCTGAACACTGAGAAGTCCCTACTGAGGCCCAACCTGTCAGTCCCGTGGCACAGTCTCAGCACAAAGTCACATGTGGATGTGACTGGTATTTCTATGTTTTCTGTTGCTTAAATAGCATGAAGAAAAATTACATACAAACAGGAAGGAAACTTAAGAGTTACAACGAATTCCTGCTTTACTATTCCACCAGGAGAGACTGTCAGTAGGGCAGGTATTGGTGTCTCAAGAGAGCAACCATCTCAAACAAGAAAAGAGAAGGAAGTGGAAGAACAGGAACAGATCTAAAACCATTATAAAGTGGGCTCCTCCAGCTCATTTCTTCTGGCTGCCTACCTGAAATGAGAGTTGCCCGATCTCCTCTTCCAGCTCTTTAACCTTCGCCTCTCGTTCAGCCACCATCTGCCTGAGCTGCTCTATAAGGCAGTTTTGTTTCTGAGCCTCACTGTTCAAATGCTGCCCCAGTAGCTGCTGGGTCTCCTTATTCTTCTCGTCCTGCTGGCTCAGGTGCTTCAAGATCTCCTGCATTTGCTTCTGTTGGCTCTGAGAAAACAGAAACGACGAGTGAGGTCTTCACTTTTGTACACAGTGATCACTTGGAGGGCGTTTTACACCCTCCAAGACAACCACCCATTCAAGAATGTCAGGGCAAGCCACTGTTCTGCCAAGCCCTGGTGTAAGCTCACTGATGTCACTAGTGCTGCTCCAAGAATTTGGTCCCTTCTGTTTTAAGCATGAGATCACTTTGTCTTGTTCTCCTTGAAAAGACAGCTCAGCACATCTACTTGCAGCACCCAGAGAGATGTGGCTGGGTAAGGACAATCTGTCCCCACTGGCCCTTGCTGTCATATCAAGATTTCAGTGACTGGATGGTGCAAGTAGAAAAGACCTGAGCAGCTGAGAGTTTCCATTTGCTGGCAGCTTTGCCCCTGAGTGTAGCAGAAAAGAGAGCAAAAAAGGCTGGCTTTTGTCAAAGGCAGCGACTTTTTTGTAAATTGGATAAAAGTAAAGATTACCATTTGCTTTTGTGGGAAATTAGAACATTAAAAGATGAGGGTGGTATGAGACACCAGCTATGAGGCCGGGTTGTTTTGCCAGTGGCTTTTGGAGCTTTTCTCACACTGACACATTTAATAGTTGCTGGACAGTTTGTTCTGTCAGGCCAACAAACTGCAAGTAAAGTGCTTCTTTGGCGTAAGGGATAAAACAAGTTAACCATTCCCATTCAAGCAAACTCACATCCTTCTGTAATAATTTGAGTGAGAATGCTAAAAGTTAGCAAGAGTGACAACTGTTCTTTGACTCCTCTGTAATCTCCCTCATCTGCTGGTCAGTGCCCATACTCCCCACAGCTGCCTGGCTTAGTCACAAGCACGTCTTGGCTAAAAACCACATACAGAAGCAAGGAAATGTGATTTGAAACTTGTGAGGAGCTGTATCAGGAAAAATCCCACTAGGAAGTGGCATATTTTCTAATTTTTTTTCCATTATTTTAACTGGGCAAGACTGTTTAGAACCATGGCAGGACAAAAGGATCCTGCAAGACCATGACAGCAGCCATTTATTTCAGGATAACTGCATCCTGAGTCTCCATTAATACCTCGCAGGGGCAACTCCTCTCAGCTCCAGCTACTGCAAATAAATGTCTACAGGGTTTAATACTCATGGTTCAGCTTGAGTGTTTTGGGCTGTGTAACACAACAAATTAAAGCACATGATTGCAGGCATTCTAAGGAAAAAAAAAAATCTCCCCATGGAGCTGAGAACAGAGAATACACAGGTCAGGAATTAAGGCCTTCCTCTACCTACTAGACAGTCCCATTTCAGTCCTTCTGCAAAATATTTCTTGCGACACTTGCCGCTTAGAGCCACTTGCCTGCAACTGTGTCTGGTGCTGTCTCACAGCCTTTACATGATCTGATCAAAAATGAAGGGTTTTATCCCACTAGCAAACCTCTGGCTGTCACAGTCTGATTCATCAGCCCCCCTCCGTATACCCTGAGGTTGTCTGTGTCACCGTGTCATTAAATGACATCATGTTTCATGGCTTATTGAAAGAGAGCTGATCTGCAGGGGCTGGGACCAGCAGTAAGAGTCAGGCTGTACCAGTAAGGCATCTATGAGCTCATCATCATGTTTTCCTTTCTCCAGCAAGGTGATGATCTGTCCCTTCAGGGTTTTCACTTCACCACACAGGACTTTGTTCCTGGCTTTTGACGCGTCGAGTTTTTTTTTCAGTTCCTCATGACTTTTTTGGAGAGCGTCGTGTTCCCCAGCGAGTTTCTGCAGCGACGCAAACACATTATAGGAAACGACAGTTATCACCTATCACCAAGCCCCGGGTGAGCTAAAGAAATCACACCTTGTCAGGTAGGAATCCAAAAAGTGGAACTGGCACACCACATCAGCCCTAAGGAAGTAGAAATTATAAAATGCTCCTACTCACTGCCTCCTTGCCAGGATCAATAAAAGGCAAGGAGTGGTCTAGGTTGATTCAGTGTGTGTGCCAGGGAGCAAATGGTAATTTTGGGTTAAAACCTAATTCTGTATTCATTTCTATTTATTCTATTCATTCTATTCTGCTATTTCATTTGTATCATTGTTCTCCACAGGGAAAACCCTCTTCCTTCCAGATACAGGATGGTGATGCCACACAATCTACTAGAAGCAGTCCTTGGCACACGCTGCCCCCTGAGCCATGGCTTCATCTCGATGAAACTGGCCAGGGAGCACAAAATCATAGAATTGTTTAGGTTGGAAGGAACTTTTCAGATCATTGAGTCCAACCATCAACATAACTCTGACAAAAACCATCACCAAACCATGTCTCTAAGCACCATGTCTACATGTCTTTTCAACACCTCCAGGGATGGTGACTCAATCACTTCCCTGGGCATCACATTCCAAGGCTTAATAACCCTTTCAGTGTCAAAATTTTTTCTAATATCCAATAATCAAGCTCTGGGATGGTGCCAGGTGGCCTTTACAGAAGCAAATATAGGAAAGGAGCAGAGGGAGATTTGCTTTGCTAACCTCAATATTTAGAGCTGACCTTCACCCTCCACGTCTCTTGCAGACCCAGGCCTACGTGTCCTTTCCACCTCTCAGTTTCACTAGCTATAGTCTCTCTCAACCTCTAAACATCAGATGCCTGTTCATTTTTGCACCAACATTTTTGGACTGGCTACACAAGAGTGCAATATAGACAACAAGCCTGGAAGCTTTTTGTTCAGTCTATGAAGTGCGGCAGGACTTCCTCTAGCAGCTTGGGTGGGCTTCTGAAATGGTCTACTCGTAGGGTGTAACGTACACCCTGAAGGTAAGGCAAGTTATTCCACACTATATTCCCAAACAGGACTCTCTCAGCTCGCAGGTTTTTACCTCCAAGGTGTCTTTCTTTTCTTTCTCCAGGCTGCGAACCTTCAGCAAGTTCTTCTCTTGGGCTGACAACTTCCTTGGATCAGTAAGTGCAAGCAATTCCTCATCGATCTCACTCAGTGATGTTCTGGCCTTCTTTTGAACCAACTGATTCTCCAGCTCTCGAACCTAGGGGACAATAAAGACAACTCATCCAGAGCTTTCACGAGGAGTACAGTAGTCCAGCATCAAAGGGGACATAACCAAAGTGAGCTCAGAGTGCAGCATTGCATTACTTCTTGACATTATCATGGTTAACTAACACAGAGCAGTGTCTGTTCTTTCAAATTTCAATTTGTTAGCTGCTTACAAATAGGCAGATGTCAAGGGCGGAGGGATGTTCAGGGAGGAGATATGACATCAGACCTACAGGAGACTCAGGACACATGGGAGATCTGTGCCTTATTGGAACCACATGTGGAGGCCAGGCAGAAACTCCAAAGCACCTTGAATGCCACTAAACACACATGTGGGCAACAGAAGAATACCTTAGATTTCCTCTAAAAGGGCAGATACCCACTCATCCATAAATATTTAAGCATCTTGGCCTTTAGCAGAATCACCATCATCTACTATAGGGACAGGCTGAGAGAGTTGGGGTTGTTCAAGCTGGAGAAGAGAAGGCTCCAGACCTTATATCCCCTTCCAGTCCCTAAAAGGGGCTACAGGAGAGATGGGGAGGGACCCTGGATCAGGGAGTGCAGGGATAAGACAAAGGGTAGTGGTTTCAAACTGAAAGAGGGGAGGTTTAGATTAGATATTATGAAGAAATTCTTTACTCTGAGGATGGCGAGACCCTGGCCCAGGTTGCCCAGAGAAGCTGTGGCTGCCCCATCCCTGGAGGGGTTCAAGGCCAGCTTGGATGGAGCTTTGAGCAACCTGGTCTGGTGGGAGGTGTCCCTGCCCATGGCATGGGCATTGGAACTAGGTGATCTTTAAGGTCCCTTCCAACCTTTACCATTCTATTATGAGTACAGAAGGAGCCTGAGGAGACCAGCTCAGAAAAATATTTATAGATTACAGTAGAGCACGGTACATACAGTCTTCAGATGAATCCCAGCCAGGGGGTCTACTGGAAGAAAAATGTAATTTGCTCAAGAGAAAGTAGAGGTTAACAATTTCAATTTCAGTCAGAGTGCAAAAATCACAGTTTGTTGGCATATAATTAAGCTGTAGAAAAATAGGAAAAATATGTATCATAACACCTGATAGAAGTTTTTATCTAAGACGCAGGCAAAACTGCCTCCCTGTTCCGAGCTGATATTTCAGCTAGACTGTGCCCTTCAAAAGATTCAAGAGTTAAAGATTTTACTGAAGTTCCTGGGGGAACAACTTGAAAAAAAAATCTTATCTGGCCTCAATTCTTCCCATCTGACTTTAGGCACTGAACAAAAGCGTTTAAGGGAGAGCACAGACAGTGACAGGGCTCCTTCTGTACTCAGTGGAGAGAGGCACCTTCAAAACATCCTGGGATTTTAACTAGGCTGGGTTAAAACCTAGCTCTCCAAGGTCACTGAACTCTCTCCTTCCACGCAGATGTGAAAGATTCCTAGCTTAAATACTGAAATGTGAGGGTTTGCAATAGACTAATTACTAATAGACTAATATAGTTTGCAGAACTCTGAAAGACCCCGCATACATCAGCACGTATTTAAAATTCAGCACCCCGCCACCATACATGTTTGTGAGCACACACACACACACACACAAACACACATACATTGCCCAGAGAAGTTGTGGCTGCCCCATCCCTGGAGGGGTTCAAGGGCAGGTTGGATGGGGCTTGGAGCAACCTGGTCTGGTGGGAGGTGTCCCTGCCCAGGGCAGGGGGGTTGGAACTTGATGATCTTTGAGGTCCCTTCCATCTCTAACCATTCTGTGATTCTATAACAAAAACTATTACAAAAGTTACCATTAAGTGTTTTATTTTAACAGTTGCTTTCCCCAACACTTTAAACACACTCAAAGAAAAAGACTGCCCATGTAGTTCCAGTAAGCATTTTTTGTACTGGGACACACCTTATAAGCAGGTATGGATGTTAATTATCTAATGAAGAACTAACAGCATCTTTACCTTAAACTGACGTAATGTCTATACTTAGAAAGAGGGTCTGGTGGGAGGTGTCCCTGCCCAGGGCAGGGGGGTTGGAACTTGATGATCTTTGAGGTCCCTTCCATCTCTAACCATTCTGTGATTCTATAACAAAAACTATTACAAAAGTTACCATTAAGTGTTTTATTTTAACAGTTGCTTTCCCCAACACTTTAAACACACTCAAAGAAAAAGACTGCCCATGTAGTTCCAGTAAGCATTTTTTGTACTGGGACACACCTTATAAGCAGGTATGGATGTTAATTATCTAATGAAGAACTAACAGTATCTTTACCTTAAACTGAGGTAATGTCTATACTTAGAAAGAGCAACCCAGCACCCAGCTCTCATGGCACTGTGCAGGGTCTGAACTCACCTTGCTCTGGAGAACAAGAATTTGCTGGGCTCGTCCACGCCAGCTGCCAGAATTGGTCAAGAGACTTTGAATATTTACATCTTCACCAACTTCATTTGCTAAAAGCTAAGAAAAAGGGATTAACGTTAAGAATAAGGCTGGGCTGAAATACACCTGTGTTGGGGACAGGGCAGGAAAAGCTGCTCTGTCTCTAGGAGTAAACACAAAACACTGTACGTACAGTGGCCTTTATCACTTGTATGTGATACCCACTGATATCTAGTATCTTGTGTGATGTTAAGCTCTTTCAGATCATTATCACAATACAGAGTGTTGGTGCTTAGGAGGGGATTTGGCTAACGTGAATAATTTCACTCTGTGAGGTGTGTCATTCAGTATTTTGATGTTTGAGTAATATTCTTTGCTTTTTTAAAACGTGAATCTGAGTTTTGCTGCCTGTCTTTGGAAAGCGTCAAGTCTAGCTGTATAGCTGGGTGGCAAACTGTGCTACTTCTGTAAAAAAGAGGATTTCAAATTCATCACCGAGGTTTACTAAGCATTACCAACAGTTTTCAATATATGCAATTATTTTTGATATGATGAATACTTAACCAGAGCTAAATAGGAAAGAGCAGACATATTGTCTTAATACACACCCTGGCAATCAGGAATTGAGCCAATCTCTCTTGCACAGTTCCAACACAGCCACATTAACGAGAGCTAAAGTTAGTATGAAGAGCATTTAAATTATTTATAAAAAGGTCAGCAGAGTTCTATTTTTAGGCCCATATTCTCTACTCGGATCTGCATTGCAGGTCTCTTACGCAAAGTAATGAAACTAAAGGAAACAGAGCACACAGTAACGCATTAAAATCCATCATGAATCAAAGAGGAAAAGGTTACTCTGGATGTCACTCCAACAAACTGTTTAAATATGTGCTTTAGATCAAGCGTGGTCTTTAATCCCATCAACTTCCATGGGACCGAAGCCTACATTAAAAGTAAATACATAATTAAATGTTTTGGAAAGGAGGAACGGGCCAGAACGTCTGCTTCAAGTCGATCACAAACCTATTTTGCTGAGCTGGGACTTTCAAACCTTAAAGAATCCGTGCCCATTGTAGCAATAGAAATAGTGGATACAGTCACCCAGCTGTGCTGGCAGAGAAAGAAATCTGTGTCTCGGTGTGTGTATCCTTCCAACACAACCTCTACACCCCTGTCTCTTCTTACCTCCTCACAGTTCACTGGAATTCTTCAGGGAGGCTAATCAAAGCTCAAAAGAAAAGAAGCCTCCCCCTGATTTCACAAGAACACACCTCTTGCACAGGATCCCAGCCACAGACTGTGTCCTGCAACAGTACCTTTTGGGTCATCTTCAGCTCCTGCTTTGCAGACTGGAGTTGGTTACGATACTCCATCACTTTAAAGTTGGCTGCGGTTAATTTTTCTTGCAATGCTTTCACCTCTGGACTTTCAGCCTTTGAAGAGAAGAACATACTTGCTAAGTACAGAATCCTTAGGGAAAAGTGATTAAGATCCACAGATCCATCAGAATCACAGAATCTTTTTTTCCCAGACCCATTCAAATGCCTTCCCTAATTTTTAGGATCATACAGAAGGTACAAACAGAGCAATTTGGTCACAGAACTACTGACAGGGATACATCCTTGTCCTAAGGAACGAAATACACAACAGGAGAGAACTAAGTATCAGGTTTTGATTTTCTCTCTCTGACTGTAATTCCTACCAAGTTTCCTTCGATCATCTTCAGAGCTGATTGCTTGATTCCTGCATCACCACCACCAAGAGAATGGATTTTTTCCACAGCTGCCTGTAGCTGGAAAAAAAATGCATTGTTAGATGCATAGAGTAAATAACAGAGAGCATACCTTCATGAAAGATTAATTAGAAAAAAATAGAACAGTAATTCTGGTGAACCTGAATATTTATTTACTCTAGAAAAAAACCCCAACTTCATTTCCCCTTCTTTTTTAAAGGCAATCAGTAGAAAAGCACACAATTTTTCCTGAAATGCTTTCCAAAGAATGTGTTATTTTACTGTGGAAAACCTTCAGTGAAAATCTCTCTGACTTGCTGAGATGGCATCAGTTATCTTCTTGAGACTTCTGTGAGATGTTATCACCATAGGTTCATAAAATAAGTGTTTATATGTATAAATGCAAATACAGTACAGTACAGATCAGGATGCTGTCTCTGGATTTCAGATGCCAGATTACCCACACTTCAGGAAAATCACAGGATATTTTATTAAAAGCACATAGTTCTATTTACCAGATTAATTTCAAAAGAGATATGACTATTTATTAAGGATGCTAAGACTCATTTTCCTTAGCTGGGGTAGCTCTAAGGTAGCATTTCTCAACCTGTGAAGAAAATGTCTTGTATTGCCTCTTACAGTTTGGGAAGGCTGGCACAGAGCCCCTCCTCTGAATCCTGTCCTATGTTGAGGTTGCAAAGATTTCTTCCTGACTGGAGTGCAGTGAATTTGGAGCTGGAAAGGCTGGCAAGTGCTGCTTTAAAGGGCTGAGACTTAATTCTTTGAGGTGGGCAGAAAATCTTGATTATTTGCCCAAATAAAAGAAGGCTCTAAGGAATCTTCTTCACTAAAGAGCTATCTGGAGTAATAAAGCATGGCACTCAGGCCCATCTCTAATGTTACCCCTTCTTTGCAAGTAAATCAATGGTTAGGTCACTCCTTCTACCCAGTTCATACACTCTCTTAGTCAGTGGACTGCAAATGAGAAATTTCAGCCAGCGTGGGCAGCTCCGAGGTCAAATTCTGCAGAAATTTTCTGCAAACATCATTTGCAGTCTTTGTTTACATGCACCACCCTTGGCTAAGTGATTGCTCAACGGCCACACCCTCCATTTCGTTTGTGGGAGCATAGTCATGTTAAAACATTTATGATTTATATATTTTTCAGCTTTCATACAAGCAATACAAGAGTTAACGATTATGTAAAGTAACAGTGTTTTCCAGTGGTGATAGTACATACTGTGAAGCATTTTAGTACCACAACCACAATTCATTTAGCAGGGTTTAAACCGTCTACAAGTAGATGCACAGGGTGAGAGTCAACTCACTAATTAAGACTTTCCCTGTTTTCAGTCCTGTCACATCTAACTGTCCCACGGGGATGTCTGAGTGGTCAAGTGGCACCTCAGATTCTACTTTCCTGCTTATGCGTGGGCAACTGAATTGCATTTTAGTTGCCTTGGTTCTTTCTACAATCAATGGCAAACGATGAGGAGGTCTTGACAGTGATCCAGCTTAAGAGTTGCTAAAGAGATGTGAATCACTGCAGGTGTCTCTGAGAATTCTCCTCTTTCATCACTCAACATTTTTCATAGATACACTGTCAAACACGGCTGTAATTTTACCCATCTTTTACATCTTCCTGTAATTCTACTGAACAAATACAATCCACAAACTCAGCCAGTGACTGTTAGTTTAGAGAAGAGCCATCCCAAAGGAGGTTTTGAGAAAATACAGACCATTGACCAGGGGATCCAGCTTAAGAGTTGCTAAAGAGATGTGAATCACTGCAGGTGTCTCTGAGAATTCTCCTCTTTCATCACTCAACATTTTTCATAGATACACTGTCAAACACGGCTGTAATTTTACCCATCTTTTACATCTTCCTGTAATTCTACTGAACAAATACAATCCACAAACTCAGCCAGTGACTGTTAGTTTAGAGAAGAGCCATCCCAAAGGAGGTTTTGAGAAAATACAGACATGGTTCAGTGGGATTCACGTTGTGGTTCACCTTTACGTTGGATAAGACAGGTTGCTGCATTTGGTTTTGATTTTGATGGTGTCTGAGGACAGATTAGTTCACATCTAAAGTGTCCTTCTCTGCTTTGGCCAGCAATTATTGTTCTTTGAAAATTTCTGTTTGCTTTGAGTTTGATTCCCTTTCCCAAAATGTCTGTGGCCCTTTCTTTTGGGTCAACATCTGACAATATTTTAAGTTTCTGTTTGAACAATGGTCATTCCAATTCTGCCAAGATTATAACCAAGTTGATCTTTCTGGAAATTATTCATGGCTTGCTCCCCTACTTGTGTGATTTTGTAGGTCCCCAGCTACACCTGCTATTTCTTAGCCAGCCTGCCAATTGTTTGACAAGACTCCTTTGATCAGATTGCTCTGGATTTATGCAGGAGTTCTCAAACATTTAATCTACCATTTCTTATCTTTCATTTAATTGGAGTAAAATTCAGACACATGCATGATTTGTGATAATAAGTGATTGTGAAAGATAGATTAAAATGCATTTGTCAGATAGCATGATAAACGCTATTGATCCATTTAAATGATGTCTTCCAAGGAAGCAAAGCATTAAAAAAATACCCAAAATTTTACCAGTATTGTGTAAAGGAGTGCAGTAGTATCCAATGAACAAAGTAAACATTGACATCAGGGCATCTCATTTTCATTTCAGCAGACACCTGAGTAAAATTATTCCTGTGAAAGGTTAGCACATATAAAAAAGTCATACTAAACCTCAAAAATAAATCTGACTTGAGTGAAGATTTGCTGTCTGAAGTCATGTAGTTTGTTACTGTCTCAGTTCTGAAAGTACTTACGGCAGAAAAGAGCTGTTATTATGTGGCTGAATAAAGCCCAGAAGAATGGAGTATTAATTCATGACTGGTATTAATGAGGTGGGAACGCAAGACATAATGGTATGAAATTTTCTCCTCCTCACACACACACACAAAAATAATCAGAAAAAGATCATTGCCATACTGCTAGAAAGACCTCTGTGCTTCAAATACAAGTGAACATTGCTAATTGGTATTTCATAAATAATTTTCTCATTATAACTTACAGATACCCTTTCCTGGCTCCTCCTTTCTGCAAAGGTGGAAACAGCTGAGGGCACACATCCCTCTCCCCCAGCATGGACAGAAATTACAAAAACTCAAAGCAAGCATAGATGCAAGAGCAAATTCAAAATGGGAACATGAATTAAACCCAGTTTCTACAGGTCCTCTATCCCAGAAACTGGATTTCTATGTTTCAGCACGCAAAAAAAGAACAAGAAAAAAAAATGCCTCACTTCTTTCTCCAGCTCTTTGACTCTGTTATTCAGTTGCTTCACTTTGGCTTTTTCACTCTCAGTCTCGGCAGTTATTTCACGATTCTTTTTGGCCAATTCAACTATTTTAGTAGCTGCAACATCTCCAGCTAAACCAGACGCCCCTGAAAAGTATACAAAAAAAGCAAAGGACATATCTTACAGGCAAGATTCAGAATAGACGAGGCTTTTGTTCTCTGTCCAGTGCACAATGTACTTTTATTGTCTAATCCATTTCTCTCAGAGCTGTGCCAGGCACTTAAATGAACAAGTGAAGGAAAAGAGGTGTCAGTGATTCCAGCTGGATTGCTTGGTCCTTTGAGTCAGCATCACGTTGTGGCCAGCAAAGCCACATTTTGCACTTTAGCAACAGCCACGTGTCAGAAGGCCACAACAGTGGTCACAGCAACATCACGACATAGAAAGGGTGAAGGTGTTTTCTGCTCACCACTGCAAGGGACAGTTATGAACAGGTTTTTGAGGCGTATTACAGAAAAAACCAACACTCTAGTTTGCACTGGTTGTTTACTACTGGAGGAGTTGCTGAAACAGAGGTGTGAACTTTTCTAGACATCTGTCCTAAAAGGTCAGGGACACTATTACAGTCGGGTCCTGGATAACGTCCAAGAAATCTCATTGTGCCTATTTATATGTCCCTTGAGATTATACATGGGGCCTTACTGTATTACTCTCTTCATTGCTCTTTTAAAGAGATACTTCATTCACTTCCTCATTAGAGAGGGTTTGATTAGTGTCACAAATACAGCAATAGCCAGGACTGGCTTGTGTGGCACTTGGCTTTCCTCACATAGGTGAGGAAAAGTTCCTGCACAAGTGCAAAATCAATATGATTACATGCAACATCCACAGAAACCTCTAGCTCAGCAGTGAACACCAGCCTGCAATAACAAATCCTTGGTGGATACATGAAGATTGATCTTGGCTGTTGTCATTCTTTTTAACTCTTTCATCCTCCTTCAGTGCTCTGAAGTAATGACTTTTCTACTGACACCTGCAAAGATTATATTCACGAACCAGGGTGAGATGCAAGGATGACAGATCGCTCTTAAATGAATTATGAGTCCCATAAAACCCCTAGAGATATTAAAGGGGCTATGTGGAATCTAGGTGAGAACAGAATATGATCTCATGTCACTATTTTAAAAAAAACTGCAGAGAAAATAATAAATTCAGTATTTTAAAAAGCTGTTCTTACTTCTTCTATATCTGTGTTTCCCCTCTCACCTTGAAGCTATTTTTTCCTTAGTTTTCATAATAAATAATGGTTGCTAAGGATCACAGTAAATACTAAACTAACCAAAAGCCAGGCTGGTGCTTCCATGTAATGGTCTATCAAATGCACAGCACACATTTAATCAAAGCTTTTAGTTCCCATGCAACGTGGGTGAGGTCTGTTACCACAATGTAGATGGGGAAGACAGGGGCATGTGTGTCAAAGAACCTGCAACGGCACATCTGCCTCCTGGTCCTGACTGTAGATGGGGAAGACAGGGGCATGTGTGTCAGCCAAAGAACCTGCAACAGCACATCTGCCTCCTGGTCCTGACCCAGTAATAGCTTATAATTTCTCCTACATAGAAGCTACAGATAGTTTTTAAGACTGAAGGTGTAATTTAAGTGTTACTTAGTTCTGCTTACTGCTGTTTTCCCCTCTTCTCTACTCGCCTGGTCCCACAGCTGTCCTGAACAACAGTGGCACCCAGTGGAGAAGGTGCAACCGACACAATTTTCAATTTTTTAAGTAACACCCAAGCCACTCTAGGAGTGGACTCAGCATTCAGTCAGCACCCTGCGTGTACTTTATTCAGGCATTCAAACAAAAGGAAACTAAATAAGGAATTTAACACAGAAAGCTGCAGCACTGCTCTTTGAAACGAACAGAAAGTTTTCTAAAATATGATTCCTATGAGTCAACATTTTTTGTGCCAACAACAGCAAGTTTGCAGAAGATCTGTGAGGAAATGGAGATCACTGTGTACCCCCAAAGAGCACTATACTTACATTAAGGGACATATAATTATCAATAACAATATTTTGCACCTTAAGTCTGACCCGTCTGACTACAAGAAGTCATTTGGTCCTTGCAATAGCTCTCTAAAATGGGGAGTAGTGCTGTTCATATTTTGCAGCTCAGGAAACTGAAGGAGAGGGTAAGGCACATCTTTTAGCCACACACACAGTCATTCCATGTGTAAGTGCTGTCATTTCAAACCACTGCAAGGAACTTCCCTCTGCAAATAAAGCAATGAGACTCCTTACACAGGAGAGACATCGACGTTTAGAAAACTCTGCAAATGCAAAGCAGTGTCAGCTGAGGCCCTTGCAAGTTTAGGAAACAACTCCAGGTGTTGACTAAATCTATACCCAATTGTATAAGTATTTTCAAAGTTCAGAGCCAAGTGGTTCCAGTGCTATTGCAAATTACTGCAGGTTCAACAGAAAACAAGTCTCTCAGCTGAGAGCTGAATTTTGATTCTTCCCAGCAGAAGCTTATTACAGGAGTGGAAATGGAGGCAACAAAAATACGAGCAAAACACTCCCTTTTAGCACAAAGCAAGTAAAGAGATATCACATGAATATTTATTTCACTGCCAGGAGCTGACGATGAATCTGTTATGCTACCTCTATTTTCATCAGCATCAAGCAAACACTGGAATTAACATCTTGGGAACACAAAGTTACTGTATTTACCTGATACAGCCAATCTGTCTTCCTGTATTTTTTTCTGGAGTTGCTTTATTTCAAAATCTTTCTCCGTCACCAGTTTGTAGAGTCTGCAGTTCTCATCTCGGACCTCTCGAAGCTGATCCTGGAGCTGCTCGTTCTCAATCTCAAGCAACCTGTGGAAAAAAATAAGCCATAATGGCAAATGTCACTGTAGAACACGGCAAATGTCACTGTAACATGCTTCAAATAGATGCTTCCAGAAATAAAAAATGAAATGACTGTATGCTAGATGAGCTGAGCTTAGTGAGTGTACTGAATTAAGTAGAATATCTTAAGTCTCAGATCAAAACACAAGCTGATGATCTGATCAACTCAGTTAAATTATTTTTTCTTCAAAAATTCTGCACTTCCCTGTGTTGTCTGGGGCAGACCATCACAGAGCAGGTATCTTTGCAGTGCTCTTGAGGTTACTGAATGGTCTCATCTCACTCAGCCCTACTTATCCTGTTCCTCAGGGGAAACCAGGCAAGCTCACCATTCAGCATCCGTGACATTCAGGCTTTATTTTCTATACTGACCCAAGCCAACAGAGCATAAACGACAAAAGCTGCTATTGAGGTTCCTTCTTTAAAATTGAACACTTCCTAGCAATTCACAAAAGACCAATTTCCTGTGTCCTCATCCGATTTTCTTGGAACCCCCACCAGGACGGACTGGCATCAGTTTGTATTGTTAATGTTGCTTTTTGGAATGTCATTTAGAAACAAAGCATATCAAAAAGCCTTCTGAATGGGAGGAAGTAGCCTTGCTTCTCCTATTCTTCAGTACATTTAGTAACATTTATGGGTTTCATCTCTCTAAGGCATCCAGAGAATTAATAACTTTAATCTCTTTGCTGTCCTTACACGATGGTTCCTCTGAGTGTAAAATCTAGAAGATAAGGCCTTCGGGGCTCAATTCAATCGTGGGCACTCAGGCACCTATTTGAGATGCCCCAGGGTTATCTGAGCCCTCTACGAAGCCACAACACAAGAGTTTCTGGGAGAATTCTGGGGCCCAGGCAGAGAATCCAGAACATCTCAGAAAGCACTTGCCACCCATGCATGGATACAGAACCAACCCCGAGAATTACTAACTTATTATCTACAGCATGACCCTGAAGAAAGCACTTGCCACCCATGCATGGATACACGAACCAACCCCAAGAATTACTAACTTTGCTCATTATGTTTACATTTTTGGTAACTTTTATCTGGAATAGTGTCCCACCCCTTTGTCCTATAGACTGATTGCTCCAGATTACAACAGAAGTAGGTAGTTTGGACAATCACAGAGATTTGGGTAACGCCCAGTTGTTACAGTACATACCTGTGGCTATAGAGATACCCACAGCCAGACAAGTCAGCGACCTCAATAGTCACCTAAATCCTTTCTGTTCAAAAGTTTTAGCAAGCTTTTTGCTCCAACTGGACTTTGGAGCTTTTAAATACATGCTCCATATGTGCGTGTCAGAATAAATGACCCCTTAGAGCACTGCCATAAACAACACAGTGAATTTATCACATGACTCAAAATGCATAATTAAGCAATGCACTTCTGCTTCAAAGCTGCAAATCAAAGGGAGATCAAAGGCAGCTGTTTACAAAGGAGAAGAAAGAAACCAGCAATCTGAGTAGAGAAAAGGCAAAACTAAGTTATTCCCACAGGTACCACTCATGGAAGTGAACAATAAAACTGTGCAGATTTAATTAGAGACTCATGGACAAAAAGATTTTTAACAGTTAGGGAATTAACATGAAAAAAAATGGTTCTAGGCTCTTAACACACCTGATCAGTGATTTCTTCCTCAGAGCTGGCTTCCAAATCTTGACAAAAAGCATTTACAGTAGGACAGACAGAAATGCTGTGAGCTGGAGTCACCCAAGAAACTTCCCCATCCCACCCCATCCTATCCCATCATGACTCTGCACGTTACCAAGGAGGTAGCATGTTCCACCCAAGTGGCTCAGCTACAGAAAGTCAGCCAAAAGAAACAGGCTGCAGAAAGGCAACCTTTTCACCCTAGTTCAAGGAAGCAGAGCCAGGGGAAGCTTGTGAGCAAGGCCTGTGACTGAAATTCAGGTAAGTGCCTTTCCTAACTCTTACAGATTCTCCATGTGATGGGGAGAATTGCTTAACCTTAAATTCACCAAACACAGGAGCGAGGAAAAAATTACACTAAAAAAAAAAAACCCAAACCAAACCAGAAATGTCAGCTAAACACTGGCCTAAGCAAAATTTGGGAGTAGGATGGGAGGAAGGAAAAGCTCAAAATTCCCAAGGCTCAGAGGAAGGGAGACTTCTGAGAGGAGAATGTTTTCCAGGCGCTGCTATAAACAACGCTGACGTGCTGAAATCTCTTGTCGCTGCAGACCATATGGAGTCCTGTTATTCTGGAACAAGTTTCCAACGTGTTGTCATGGGAATACTCCAAAGTACATCCTGGTGAATCCCTTCCAGCAGCAAATCCTGCCCAGATTTGATACACTCGTAACCACTCTTATGCTGAACACAGACGTACATAAGTGAAGGACGGTCCAGATAAATCTCCTACACCTGCCATGTCAAATGGGGACTTCTAACAGCCAGTGCCACTGCAAACGGAGGTAACTCATAGCTCTTGAATTACTCACACCTAAATTACTGATTCTTAAATGGCAAAGGACTGCTGGGACTCTCCTGTGCACCTCAGAGCATGCATGCTGCACCAGGATGAGCGATGGGAGCACCGAAGCTCCTCTCCTCCACAGGCAAATCCGCATCCGAACTGTGGGAATCAGTCTCCCTCTCCATTAAAAAAAAAATAGATTAAAAAATAATCACATCTCTATAGTAATCTTCTCTATACTATCAAAACTAAATGTTGAAGGGAAGAGGCCAGCTGGTAAAAGTCAGATCAGAAAAACACACTGGCAAATCAAACAGCTGTGGTGAGGGACCTATGTCTGAAGAAGAAGACAATTGTATGTTGCAACGGTGAGAGCATCAGTTTCTAGAAGGTCAGCTCTCTGTTTCCACACAGAACTCCCCTGAGGCATGAATGCCATATTCCCAGAAGCACCTGAAAGTTTCTGTGGTTCCCTCCTGGGTTCCTTGCAGCTACACAGAAGCTCTGCAGCAGCTTATGCACTTGGGTGTTTAAGGAAGCAATCTTCAGAAACAAGCAGAGCAGGGAGTTGCACATTTAGGGCCTAATAAACCTCGGTTAGTGGCTTGATAAACTTTGGTAGAGGTGCCCTTTTCCACTCCAGATTCTGGGAGGGGAAACTGTCTCAAAGGTATATGCCTAACTGTGGTTTTCCACCTGTGATCTGCTGGTTTTGGCAGAGCTTCCTCCTCCTTCCTGCTTCTGTATCACAGTGCATCACCCCATCTTGGTGCCAATAAAACAGTCTATGGGGCTCAAGCTTTAAATCAGATCACTGAAATGACTTGCAATAAAAGTACCCTCACCCCAGAAAGTGAATCAAATTTCCAGCAAGCAGCTGTATCAGCACAGCTGCAAGTGGGGAGCAGAAACAGGAATTATCTTCAGCTGGCTTCACCACTAACACAGAGCAAATCCCCAAATAGCCAACACTGTAGTAACTGCAGACATCTTTGGGATGTGTCCAACTTCAGACCTGTTCTAGTTTGTAAAAAAAATCAAATAAAAATTAATTGGGTCAGAAGGAAAGACTGACTATATCCTAGGAGGAAAATGAATGATCTGAGCTGGGGTTTCAAATCTCTGCTCCAGTAAATTGAGTCATGCATTCAGCTCCAAAAACAAGATCGAGGGAGAGCCACACCAGAATATCCAATGTCCTGGTAATCCCGATACTACCCCAAAGGGTGAGGTAAGACCCAAATCCCCATCCCCAGTAAGATTTTAAACCCTACCTTGAATAACCCTGTCAATTATCTTAACCAGGAAGCAACTCTAAGACCTCGCCCTTCTGCTCTTCATTTGTGAAATACTGAAAATAAAGACCCCAGCACAATGCCCTGAGCATGAGCATGTTAGGGACAGTGAGAGTGTCAGGATTATGAAAATCCAATATGTGAAGACAGAAAAGTGCTCTGTCAAGTATGAGTTTCATAGAATAAAGACCCCAGCACAATGCCCTGAGCATCAGCATGTTGGGGACAGTGAGAGTCTTCTCAGGATTATGAAAATCCAATATGCAAAGACAGAAAAGTGCTCTGTCAACTTCGAGTTTCATAAGATCATAGGCAAAATGCACTTCTGTGACTTCCTGAAGAAATGGTACTGCTGCACCTTTACCTTTTGCTGTCATCTTCATTTACAGGCTGTTCTCTTTCAAACAGGTTTAGATCATTTGGGATTCTGAAAGTCTCCTTTGCGTTGCTGTTATCACCCTTCTGACTGTTCTGCTTTTCCTTCTTCCTCTCCATTAAACTTTGCAGCCGCCTTTGCTGTTGCTCTTGGTAAGCCTTAAACTGGCTCTTAAAATCTTCACTCACTTTTATGTCTGACTCCATTGTTTACTAAAAACATAACAAGAGGAAAATAAAAAGTGACAGAGAGCAGAGATCAACATTGCTTTGAAAAAAACATCTTCTTCTAGCAGCTGCTTTGCAGTTTTTCATCACTGACCTCTGCACAGTATTCCTACCACCTCCTCCTCTCAGCCACCGCACTCCTCAGCCCCCACTGCCTTGCTTCAAGTGCCTTTTTGCCATAAATGGCTTTCAAACAGTCTTCAAAAAAACTTTCCGGGTGTTTTTCACTCTAGCATTCAAAAAGCAATGTTTTAAAATATTTTGAAACAGATCTGTTTAAATAAACATTTTTACAGAAGGGCAAGTTGGGGTCAAATCCAAGCGAGTGTGGTAACCACATTACACTGACTAAAAGGAACACAGGCTGTTTGCGACCCAGGTCCACCCTGTCTTCCTTCCCACGTTTCAAAGAAAGGTGCAGATCCCCCATTTTTGGGTTAACATGGGACTGACAAAGGAAGAAAGATCTCTGTTTATCCTCATGCTCTCTTTGGGCACTAGACACCAAGAGTGAGGCTTACATCTTTCCCCCAAATTTCTAACCATGAAGTGATAACGTTAAAGTGATAATACTGTTACCCATTTAAATGTCTCAAGCTTTACTTAGTGTGACTAAAGACCAGCAGTTTTGTGATATATTCCAGCCCCCTCTCCTTCTGTTTGACATTTGCTGTCAGCAAAAAATCTAGTGCACCTTTGGTCTAGGAAAAAAAAAAACAATCAGTAAAAAGTTCCAAAGGCACGCCCTCCACTGAGTAATTAACCCAGGCCCTTTCTCACACTAAGGAAGCAATCATCCTGATAAAGTGCAAAAATACGTGCTATGTCCCAGTATGTACTACATGGGCAGAGACACACTGCAAACAGCTTTACTCCCACACCTGCCCCATGTCACCGCGGGTGTGGACAAAGTGTTTTAAAAGCTGAAAAGGGCAAAGAGCAGAGTTCAGTCAGCCCCCAGGCCACCACAACACCCACGAGGCCCTGAGGGCAACCTTTAGCCTTCTGGCCTACCTGAATATCATAGAATCATAGAATTGCCCAGGCTGGAAGGGACCTCCAAAGGCCATCTAGTCCGACCTCCCCGCAGTCAGCAGGGACACCCCCAACTAGACCAGGTTGCCCAGGGCCTCGTCAAGCCTCACCTTGAATATCTCCAGGGAAGGGGCCTCAGCCACCTCCCTGGGCAACCTGTTCCAGTGCTCCCCACCCTCACAGTGGAGAACCCTCTCCTAATCTCCAGTCTAAATCTGTTCCCCTCCAGCTTGAAGCCATTGCCCCTCGTCCTGTCACTGCAGGCCTTTCTAAACAGGTTCTCCCCAGCCTTCCTGTAGGCTCCCTTCAGGTACTGGAAGGCTGCTATTAGGTCTCCCCGGAGCCTCCTCTTCTCCAGGCTGAACAACCCCAGCTCCCTCAGCCTGTCCTCGTAGCAGAGGTGCTCCATCCCCCTGATCATCCTTGTGGCCCTCCTCTGGACCCTCTCCATCAGGTCCATGTCCTTCTTATATTGAGGGCTCCAGACCTGCACACAATACTCCAG